TTCTTACAGCACCCCCTTCCCCCGGCACAGTGCTCTATAGAGGGTGTAAGTGAAGGCCTTAACGCCACGGCGGGCGGCCATGGACCTTCGAGCACTGGGTCGGCTCCCCCTGCCATGGTGTAGAGCTCACACGAAGGTGTAAGGGACGGCCATATCACCACGGTGTGCGGCCATGGACCTTCGAGCAATGCACCCACCGTTAGGAGGGGCTGCGACCCCCGGGACCAATAGGGAGGCCGGACACTTCGGTGCGAGGCCGCGGTCCGGGACGCGGTCTCTCAATGTGCCCACCCTGGGGGGTGCAATGCGCACCCGCCCAGCACTTCAGAGTGGGCACGTGGGCGGCTTCACTGCCCACACCAGGTGGCCAACACCAGCGAGCTAGCGTGAGTACCGTACCTTGCTGGAGATGTAGCCTGGAATACCGCCGCTAGGCGATGGTGATTAGTGGGGGACCTGCCTGCCAGCCGAGCTAAACAGAGCAGAGGCGAACAGAGAAACAGTGCCGGTTCCACCGCGAAACCACGGACGTGTCCAGCACTAGCTGGGGCGCAGGGGATGGTCCGTTCGCGGACTGACGTCCCACCGAAGTTACCGGTGATTCAAGTTCATGTGAACTGACGTCCTAACCCTCATTGAAGTTGAAGTTGAAGACCTGGATGGAATGGTTGTGCACGCCCGCAACGCACGGGCGCCGTGGGGGATTGCCTAGCCTCCGCACGACAGGCGCTCGCTGCGCTCCGCTGGCCTACCTCCCCGGCCGGCCGAGTCCCCACGGCATAGAGTTCGGCTCAGAGTGCGCGTCACCCACCCGCTTTTAGCTTCAAACGCGCGCAAGACCACCTGGCGACGGCCCAGCCCCATCCACGGGCCTCGCAAAGCCATTAGCGATTGGGAAAAAAAAAAAAAAAGAATCTTGCCAAAAAAACTCAAGGTTTGAAAGGCGTCGTTCGTTGGTGGGGGCAGGCCGAGCTATGACCGCCGCTGGCCTCTGGGTGAGGGGGAGGGAGTGCGGAGCATGGGACAAGCAATCCACCACGAGCTCATGATTCCACGGTGTGTTAAATAATGGAGGTCAGGAATGGAAAACGCGACCCATCGCCTCTATACGCCAGTCTGGGCGCCAGCCTCACCACCCACATCTCTGCCCGCAGGTCAGAACGGCGCGGACAGCAGCGGCGCGTGCGGGGTGTCGCTGGGCCGGTCGCGGAGCGGCCTGGACGGCTTCACGCGTAACGACATCGGGACCCACTCCAACGTGAGCTCCGAGTTCCAGTTGGCGCCCACCCTAGCGCCGTCCGGGGCCTCGGCCGCCTCGGGGGCGAGCCTCGGCGTCGGCCTGACGGCGTCCTCGGGCGTTTTCGGCACGGCGGGAACATCGCCGTCGTCCGGCCGGTCGCCGTCCCCATCACCCGGGCGCTCGCCGTACAGCCTCCAGGATCAACCTCTCCGCGAGGAGACCATGTAGCCAAAAGACTTTTCACGTGGGTCTCCCCGGTGGTTAATTCAGCACTTTCTGGGGTCCGTTAAACTCAAAGTGTGCTCAGACTGTAAGAGGACATTAGTCTAAAAACTGTCCAGATCAGACCAAAGTTTGCATGGTCTATGCAGTAGAATGTATTGTACTGTAAATATA